ACAGCCAGCGTGGCCGGGGCTCCCAAGCAAAGGGTGCGGCCGCCAGCCGCCTGACCCTTCCGCACAGATGCCCCCCGCTGGGCAGTCTGATGGCAAACGGGCTCCTCTGAGCCTGTCACGCTGTGAAGGGGGCGCTCTTTCTAAAGCATAATGTTGTCGGCTGCTGACGTTCTATGCATTTTATGACTCTGTAACAGATGCTAATGTAACTGATATTGCCTTGTGGACATTTTCAAATAATAATAATACGGTACTTTGGTACAGAAAATTCTGCTTACCTCGTTGAAAAGTGTTAAAATAGAGTAGCTTATGTTAGTGGTAACGGTTACATATACATATGTAAGCACAGTTTTAATTAATGTTTCAAAGGTAAAATATTCCTTTGTGTTGCTGGGAAACTTTTAAATGCTGATTAGATATTAAAACTAATACAGTAAGAACAAAAGAGAGTCTGAAACGCCCTGAGGGGGAGGACGAGTCCTGGGGGCGGGCGCCCGGGGGCCCGAGCGCCTCACCTGGTTGTACACGTTGTACTTGTTGACATGGTTCTGGTGAAAGACCAGCTTCAGGAACTGCCCCACTGCGTCCACATAAACGGACTTCAGTTCCCGGGCTTTGCAGCCTGTCTTTTCATTGTCACAGAGAGACACGTACCTGCAAGAAAAAACTCGACTCCAGAATCACGTTGATTCGGAAATACGCTGCCCCTCTGTACCCTCTGAGCTCAGTGAGTTTCAAGGAAAACTTAGGTTTGGATTGAAAAAGTCCTAGGAAAAAAGCCGCAAAGTCAACTTCTAAACAGCCTGTCTTAGGACAAGTTCTGCACCTGGAAAGGGGGGTTGAACGCTGCTGATACAACGGTGGCCTGGCTTAGTAAGCGCATTCACCACGAGGCAGGTGTTAGGAAATCGCGCAACCTTGACCCACATGCGAGGACCTAGAGGAGGACCGAGAGCAAGGGGCAGTTCCTTAGCTTTCACTGCTTTGAGGTGGAACTGGCCTGGCTGAAAGTTGCCACCATACATTCTGAAACCGTCCTTACCCAAGCCTTCGAAAGCGCTCGGCTGGGCGCGGTGCGAGGCGCTCGGGCAGGCTCTGGCCCACGTAGAACTCCACCTTGCTCGGGATCAGGCACTGATGGGCCAGCAGCTGCAGCTTTCTCACTCGACACCGCTCCACCATTTGCAGAACAATTTCTTGTGGAAACTGGCAAAATCTGAAAGCAAACACACTTTGTTTTTTCCGCACGATTCCCACAGAGGGCTTCTGGATGTCTGCACCCTGCTTCCACGTGACGTGGCCGGTCTGTGGGTCCGAGGCCGCGAGGCCACCAGCCCCGTCCCCGCAGCCTCACAGTTGGAGCAGGGGCTCCGAGCGAAGGTGTGATGGGGTCTGCCGCCCCCGGTGTGAACCACACTTTGAGCAGTTAGTTCATGGTTTGAATGAAACTTCAAGTTAATCACGAGTCACACATCAATCTAAAGAGGCTGTGCTGTGAGTCGCAGGATTTTCCACAGGAACCTAAATCCCCTTGCTTCCCAGAACCCTGAGCTGATGGAGCAGCGGTCAGTCGGCCCTGTGCCCCGCACACACAGCAGCCCAGAGGAGGAACCTGTCCCCACCGGAGCTGCTACTCCTGCTCAGAAGTGACTCAGTGCGCTGGAAACCTCTCTCGTGGTGTATGATCGTGCCCAGGCGACACAGAGCACCGGCTGCACACAGCAGTGGGCTGCCCAGGGCATCAGAGCGGGGAAGCACCGAGGACAGGCTGTTGGGAAAGGCCCTTCCAACACCAGTGTCCGACCCTGCATGAGCGCCTTGGTAGACCATCCACTGGCCCGCCTGGCCCCTCTCTCTCCTCTTCTCCCAGCCAAGCCAGCCTGCCTTTTCTTTCGACCCGATCGGCCTCCTCCCGACCTCACACAGACAGACTCTAGGACCCCCTTTGTAGGGAACCCTCCCGTGATCCTGAATCCCTCCCCGGCTCGCAGCCCGTTTCTCAGCTGCCACCCCAGCCAATGTCACAGGTCACTCTTGTGAAGGCCACTCTGACCTCTGTGATGCTGACTGTGACCTGCACCTCCCAGCCCTGACCTTGCTCAGCCCACGAGCCTGGCCCACCTGGCCACCCCTCCTGGCCCCTTCCTGCCTCAGGCTGCCTCCCTGTCCAAGCCCGATTGTGCCTGGACTCCTGCGTCTGGGTCAGGTGCCGGGCTCCCTGCTCCAGCAAGACCCACTGGAGGGGATCCCATCAGTTCTATCACGAAGAACCCCAAGTGAACACCACCTGTGTCTGAACCTGCGCATCCAGCCGGCAACCTGATGTTCCATGGATGCGCCCACAAGGCATTCGAGGTGACAGACAAAACCCACCCCCGCCCAGCTCCCCCATTTCCACCCCCACCAGCCTCCTCCCCCAGCTTTTCCCACCTCAGCAGTGGCCCGCCGCCCACCCCATGGCCCACGCCTGTCCTTAACTCCTAACAGGATGGCCAGAGCCCCCCAGCTCTGCCTGATGGCTCCCTGCTGTGATGTGGTGACCTGGCTGCAGGCGGGCGGGCGGTCAGGACAGAAGGAGGAAGGGCACAGAAAGGAACGTCAGGCTAGACCAGGCAGGGCGGGTGGGAACCTCTGTGTGTAGCTGAGGGACACGGCAGGGTGAGCGGGGGTGGGGGAGAGCTGGTGACCGCGGGCTGAGCGGGCTTGTTCTGGGGTTGTGATCCCTGGGGTTCCCGAACACTTGAGATTTCAAAAATGCACAGGTTGTAAGGGGAGTGCTCGTGAGGCAGGAGGGCAGCCAGGACCGGGGACCAGCAGCTCGAACCTCCAACACCCTCCCTCCCCACTTCAGCCAAGTGCCGCTTTAGACACGGGCGACATGTGCTGTGTTTAAACGCAAGGCACACTGGTATAACTTGTGGTGAGACCACTCTAGACTAAGGACTCTTGGTAATCTATTGTGAAAAATCCTTATATTTTAAA